AGGCAGTTAACTTCATATGGTAACTAGAAAACCTTCCCCTAACTGCAGAGTTACTGGTGATTTTCTAAGATTAACCACCAGGCAAGGATACTGTTTTTACTACTTGTGGTAAAATTCTATAGAGATCAAGGTAAAATCTTTATAGAAATAAATCTTTAGTATATAGTATCTAGAATGGGAAGCATTTTCTGCAAAGAAGCACTTGGTCAGTTTCAAAAAAGATAAATATGGAAAATGAATAGAAAGTTTGAATATGTAAATTATAAAAAATGCTAGTTTGATATTACCTTTAAAGTAATAAAGAATTATTAATTTACTAATCAATAGGGAAATGAAAATTAAGAGGAAATTGAATACACCTCATGTAGGCAAAATTTTTTAAAGTTGGACTATACCAAACAATGGTAAGAAAAGACAGTATGAAGTCTCATATTGTGTACTGTATTACATAAAATCTCAACTTAATAGCAAAAGGAAATTTAATGAAAGGTGGAATCATAAAATGGCAGGACTGTTGGTTTCAGGCTAACCTCTCCTTTAAAGAGAGGTTAAACCTCTCCTTTGATTAAAAATCAATAGAAAGGTATTTGGTGTTTGTTACCTTTATATGATCCTAGGTGGAAAACCCTGTATTATTTGCTCAGGCAAGATTAATACTCATCTGATTGAGTATTAGATAGCAATGAAAACAAAACCACATGAAACAAGGTGAATACGTTTGAAAAGTAATAGTGAGTAAAAGATATATCTTTAGCAAATGTAAACTTGAGTTACTAATGGATGCACTACAAATACTTTACACGAAAGGATATCTCTCTGGAGAGAAAAAGATAGGAGATGGCACACAGGCAAATCTGTTACACTGCAGCATTTTGTTCCCTAAACTTACTGCTTAATAAGAATCTTGCCCTATTGTTGTTTTTTAATGTGTGTGTGTATAATCTTTATGTATTATCAAACTGACTGAAGGAATTCAAAGTAATGTATCCCTTTGACAATCTTTCAGTGCTTTCTACCTTACTGGAAGTATAAATTATATTGGCTAGTGATTGTTTTTCTTATTGAAGATCTACTTCGGCTCTCCAAGTTAAAGCTCTGCACTGCTAAACTTGCTGTGGCTACTTCAATGCGAGTTCAATCCCCACCCTGGAGGTGATCCACATGGCACAGCAGACCTCTCCTATCTCCCCCTCTGCTCCCCTCAGCAGTGTACTTTGTCAATCTGCTTGTTCTGCTCCCCACACTGACGCTTGGTGAATCCTCTCACCTCCCTGCACCTCTGGCCTGTATCCCATTTCTATGTGCATAAATAAATAAATCTTAAAAAAAGAGAGAGAGAAAAAAGATCTACTTTCATATTTTCTTCTCCAAGTCTGGGAGTGTTCTATATATAATTGGTTTGACTTTTAGTAGCTTCAGTCTGCCCTTTATTTCTGCACAGGTAGGTTCCAATTCTGCAATTTTATTTTCCTTGTGACCTGACTTTGTCTCCATCATCTCCTTGATTTCTCTTTTTGTGACCTTTCAATTAGTCCTTCTGACCTATTCATTTTACCCCATTTTCTTTTCTTTTTTGCTCCTTTCTTACCTCATCTATTTAAATCAGCTTCATGACATTTTTCTTCTAAATCTTATACAATCCTCTAATAATAGCATTAAAAAGAAACTCTAATAGTAATAAAATAACACTTGTACTTTACTTGGACACTACCAGTTACTATATAATATGAAGTACATAATATTCACTGTTTCATTAATTTTTAAAAATATCATTGGTTTATTTTATTATCTTCATTCTAGTGATGAATAATATGAGCCTTATGAAAATTAAATGCAAAGCATTTATAGTAGCAGAGGGTTGACATATACATTATTTGATTTTGGAGCCTTGGATCCTAAATTATGTCCTTAATGCCACTCTACTTGAATTATATTTGAAATTGTAATTACTGAATATCTAACAATCCATCTCCTGTTACTAAGAAAGCTTAAATTCTAAAGAAAACTAAGTACCTATTATAAAATACTTGTGTTGCCGCTTTTTACTTGTATATGAAATTTTCTGCTGCTTTTTCGATAACTACAGTTAGAGTTTGGAGTTAGGGAGTGAAAAGTATGAAGTCAGTTACTTAGTTTTCCTCACCAAGCGACTTAACATATATAATAGATCCCTTATTTTTCTGGTTATCTAGTTGGTATAATTCTCAGTCTAGCTTGAAAGGTATGGGGATTCCTAGCTCTATTGAAATCAGATATGTGTTTCATGAAGTTAACCCACATGTTTCAAGCATAAGTAGATTTTTCTCATTTCTAATCCATATCATTTCAAAGTTTAGCAGTTAGATTCTGGTGTAAGTTGGTTATTAATTGTTGGGTTGGTTAACTTTTTGTAAAAGTAAAATTTTGTCATTTTTATAAAATTTTGGAGATAACACATAAGTCAGAAATTTATTCTTTCACCTAAATTAAAATCTGTTCTACAAGGCTTTGTTCTTCAGGTGAACTTACTGACTTCCAACTAGACCATCAACAATTTTAGAGCATGGTCCTATTTTCATTTTCTTGAATCCAATGAATAAGTACTTTCGTAATTTTCATTACAAAAGCATTCAGTAATATATTTTGGGGAAATTAATTCTCTTACCTGTCTGAAAATGCTAGATATCACTACAAAATATATAGTGAATATGGAAAATATTCCTCAACTTTCAGAGTATTAGCAAAATAGAAAACAGAAAAAAAATGTCTTGGTATGGAGAAAAATGTAGATATATAAATCACCTATAAACCTAGCAGGCAGGATGTGTACTTTAACTAAAGCCTGAAATTTATTATATAACCATTGCTGAGTAAAAAAAAAGTCTTTGGAAAACTAAATTACACATCTTACACAATATTTATCCCATATTTATTCAGCTTGCATACTTAGTATTTTCTTTCAAATAAAGTGAAGTAATTCAAGTTTGGAAAATATAAAAACATCATTTTTCAAATTGCATCTATTTTTGACATTGATGAAATGCAATTGAATGCACTTGTCAAATCAATAGAAAGTGTAAAATTGTGAATTGATAATATCACAGTCTGTCCTCACTTCTTAGATATTTGCTATTGGTGCGTCATAGAAAGAATCTCATAAAAAGTTCATTGTTTTGATTGAAGTTGATCTGGAAAATCACAGACACTGACCTATTTATAAAATAAATCAGATGGGGGCAGTGACTGTTTTTCAGTGATAATGTAAAGACACTATTTCTTTGATGTTTTGCCAGATTTTAAGTCATGTTGAAAAAATTTACAAGAGACAATAATTTCTTTCAAAATGAGAGTCTTCATATATGAATATCATAATCAGATTTCTTAGAAATTAAGAAATATTGCAGCTTTTCAACAATCTGTGTGCTTATATAAGATGCCTGTGATACATTAGCAGCATTGAGATACTGAGATACATGATTAAATCTCACTGGTAAGTAGGTTACTAGAACCTCAAAATTCTATCTTTGTAGAGTCAAGGGACATAGATGATCTAGGAATGAATTCTTAATGTGCCTCGGGTATCTGGTAAATTTCAAATTATATGCTAGGAAAAACAACTATCAGAGATTAATCAAGCTGAAAGAAGTAATAATGACAGCTGTAGGAGTATCTGGTAAATTTCAAATTATATGCTAGGAAAAACAACTATCAGAGATTAATCAAACTGAAAGAAGTAATAATGACAGCTTTAGGAAGCTTCAGACAATCTAATTTGAATTCTTTCACATTTTATACTTTAAATATACAGATTTAGGTCAGTCTCAAGAAAGAAAATGAAGTTAGAATGAGAGGATTACACTTTGGGAAGGAATATATGACTTTAGATGTTTATGTGGAATTCACATGATTTGATATCTACATCAACAAATAAAATTTATTATTTTTAGATTTCCTGACTTTTTAGTATTAGAACTAGTTGCTTAAGATCTGTATCCTTTGTGTGTATGTGTGTGTGTGACTGTTTAATGGAAAAAGAAGTCTTTACTTGATTTGTAAACATTCTCATGTAATTTTCTGTAAGGATATTTTTTATCTGTGCAAGACTAATATTCCCTGGAAGAACAAACTGTAAGAAATGGTTTGCCTGGTGCTGTCCACAACTTAGATAGCCAACAGAAGATCCTATCTCAAGAGCTTTAGTCTAAATCATTTGTCTCCCTCCAAGCTCTCTTCTATCTTTAATTAGATTCATGTCTCCATGCAGTCAGCAGCTAGAAGTGTGTAGGTATTCTAAACACTGTGTTCTTTTGTTGCCCAAATTGCACGTACTCTTTCACCAAGTTGTATAGCTTGCACATTTTTACCTGTTATGAAGTGTTCCTGTTAGTTATCCTTATAATAGAGCTTTTGTCCATGTATCTCTTTAGACTAATGAAATATTTCTCTAGTCCCCTAGTTGTCATTCTATTGTCCTGTTCAATAGCTCCATGTTGTATTGGTTGTTAAATTTTAAAAAAAATCATTAAATTGTCTGTAAAATGCCCTTAAGAGCCCTACATAATTTAGCCCTTGTTTGCTCTCACTTGGTCTCTTTACAGGCTCTCATCTTGACTCCTAATTGTTATACTTCAAATTTCATTGTTTTCCTCATCATACCAGCCTATTTCCTAATTGTTTCTGTTTGTATTGTTCTTTTCTCTTCATATCTTTATGCCCCATTTTGCAGTATCCTTACCTGGCCCCTTCTCTGCCATAATTATTTATCATAATTATTTATCAAATAAGTGAAACTGATAACTCTTTGTTATGTGTCCTGCTTACATACAGGTCTTTCACAGTGTCCATGACACTATTATATACATCTGCTTTCTTGTCTGTTTTGCCATGATAGCAAAAATGCCTCTCAAATGTAGCTTTCTGCTTTGTCTTTGAATCTTCAGGAACTTGTAGAGTTTTAGAAGAATACTAGATGCTCATTAAATGCTTACTAAGTTGATGGATGTAGTAGTCAAAATTAATACCTGGATTTCCAATAGACATTTCAGGTGGAAGTTATATTTTTGGATTGCTGTTGAGAGGCACTTTCTGAAAGAAAAAAAAAAAAGCAAAACTCATTTATAATTGGGTGGGAAAGTATTAGCACATTTATCACAGGTTGTCTTTCTGACTCTATATAAGGAATGATTTCAAAAAGGTTTATTCTTGACACACTTCCAAAACTATTTCAGATGCATATTTTATAAGTTTGTATAACTTAATGGGCTATAAACTTTAAAATTTGGAACTTCAAAGAAATCCATAACAAATTAACCAAATCTCTCAAAGATCAGTAATTATATCTAACTACTGTTAAATCAAAATGTTAACTTTCAGGGTGATTTATAAGGAAATAATGACACATACTGGCATCACAAAATGTTAAATATATAAGATCATGTGGAGAATTGCTTTTAGAATAACTGGCATACATTTAGTAAATGTGGTTGTTTTTTGACATCAAATCTCTTTCTCTCTTTTTCCACTAAATTTCTCTAGCTTTATCTCCATCTGAGATGAAGTTATACTAGTTGAGCACAGATTCTTCTAGACTTAACTGTACAAAATTATTTTTCCAAACATTATTTCTTTCTCTTCCCTGGAAACTCTTCATTGACTTGAATAATAAGTTAATAATAGTGAGGCTGAAATATAATGAAAGCTACCTTGCTCTGATCACCTTTTCACAGGTTGGCTTATCTCTTTTCCTTGGGAAATAGTCACTTATAAATCACTACTTCCATCAAATCAGTGTAATACAGTCTGTTATCAACCAGGGACTTCCTACTTTGTATAGAAATTTTCAGATTTGATATCTTGACAGAATTTTTAATATAAATTTATTTTGGAACAAGGAAGCAAGTCTTGTTAATATGCCACCTTGATATGAACCAAACCCCAATACATGTAAAAGCTATAATGAAAATTTGTATCAGGTTATGTCTGACATTTTCTAGTCCTGCCCACTCTGTGATTTTTATATTGTGAGGTTGGATATTTGGGGGTCACAATAAGGAAAGACACACATGGAAAGACAGTAGTTTAATAGGCATTTGCACATTTCAGCAAAAGTGATTTCAGTTGTGAACTGAGTAGTCTTGGGTAAGTTATTTAATTCTGAAGGAAGATGGTATATGTTAGCAAGGAATTAAGGGGAGAATTAGATGAGATACTATATGTAAAATGCATAATGACTCCATGAAGTGATAGTTCATTAATGACCACTAAAATAATTTTAACACATATTTTTATAGCAAGCTTTGCTTGTATATGTATGTGTGTGTTTATTCCATTTTTGTTTAATCAGTTTAGAACAATCGTAATTCCAGATAAACTCAAACTGTAGCATATCTTCTCCCAGCTTAGCTTCCTGGCAATTTTGTTCTTTCAAATGATACATGCATATATATAAATAACAGAATCAATTAGAATATGTTCATTTGCTGACACTTGAGTTTTCCAATTTGAATAATCGCTCCTCTGTTTATGATATACCAATTATTTATAGGAGTTACAGAAAGGAATTTAAAGTAGGAGATGGTAACTTTCAAAATATGGGAACTCAGTTAAAGATAGAGTTTAAGTGACAAATGCATACTCAAATTCTCAAAAATGAATGTGAAAAAAATCTTTGAAATTGTAATCAATAGTAGCAGCGATACTTTTAAATGAATATTAGATTATTCTAGAAGGTGTTAGCATCTCCTCAGCTATATCTGAATAATTGTGAAGAATAGATAATTGTTAACAGTTTTTGCCAAAGGGAGATATCTTAAAAGTACATTATCTTCCATGGAACTAGTGAAAGGATAGTTTTTACAATCAGCTGAAGAACACTGTGATTCGGCATTTGAGAACTCACTGTTATTTGGCACTTGAGAACTTGTGATTCAGTCTTGGAACAGAAATAAAATGTCTTACCTGGATGCTTTCCAAATATGCATAAACTCTAGAAGTTGGTTCAGATGAAACTGATTGTGGTCATCTTCATTCTGTGGACAGCAGAATATATTAATATTTATAGCGTGAATAGGAATGAGTGCCAGATAAAAATAGGTCTGTAACTTCCTGCTGTCATTTTACTCACTGCTTTTGATAACCCTCATTCATCATTTTAATACTTTGTTTTAAAGACCTTACAAGACTTAACTATATAAACATTCTTTTCAAAAGTAAGTCAGAAAGCTGAGCATTTGTTGAGTGTAAACCTGAAGGACAGCTGAAAAACTTCTGACATCACCATGTTTAAACACTGTTTTTTCTGAATAGATGGGGCAGTATTTTAGGTAGCAGTTCTCCACATATGTACACATTTTCTTTACATTTAGGACACATGTCATGGACATCTAAGACTTAACTTTCCAGGACAGCCTGCACACACATAATCAACTCCAGATTTCTGCTATACTACATCCTGCCACCAGACTGCCAGTATAAGAAAATGTCTCATTAACACAAAATTGTGTTCAAGTTTCATGAAACTTGTGATAGTTATAAATTTTTGTGTTCATGAAACTTATGATAGGTATAAATTTTTCATACTGGTTTTCTCCAAGGTGGAACAATAGCAGTAGCAATAGCAATAGCTATCAATCCTATGGTACACACACACACACACACACACACACACACACACACACAAACACACTCCTTTTAACTCCTCAATTGGTTTTTCTGCAACAATCATTCATAAAAAGCCTATGCAACTAAGCAGAGAATGCAATATATGGTATTTCATAGTAATTGCACCATTTCACCACAAGGTGGCAAAAAGTTTGAGAGTTGAGTGAGTCCCATAAGGCCCAGAGTATATGTTTACCTTGTATGTCAGCATACACACAGTCTGTTCTTAAAATGACCTATTACAGATTCTGACAGAAAACATCAGAAGAAAAACCTTTATGTGGTTTTAAGTCAAAGGTAAATTAATTTTTATTTTGTATTGTTTTATGAGCAAAAAGGAAGCTAAGTTACTTGAAACAAATCACTGAACACCTCTTCTATCTCAGACTTTGTTCTACGTGGATATAGTTGTGGAAAACAAAACAAAAAGGTAGAATTTTGACTGCTCTGAAACTCATTCTCAAGACATTTGAATTCAGCTCACACACTCTAGGCATATTTATTGCACTAGTTGGTAGTATTGGTTTAGAATATTGTGACTCACAGACTAGACTTAAATCCAAGCTCTTCTGTTTACCGGTTCCATGAATATAATTGGGAAAAGTCATGGAAGAGCCTGTGACTCAGTTTTCTTATTTTATCAATACTTACCACATAGGATTGTTGTAAAGATTAAATGTAATAGAAAAGTTGTCCCAGATACATAATACATAATATATGCTCACTGCATATTATATCATAATGGTGAGGTTACAGAAAAAAACTCAATTTATATGAAACTGAAATGTTAATGTTTTGTGAATTACTACCAATGTGATTAGTCATTTTTTTTAGAAGCATATAGCTTCTGAACAAGAGTAGAAATTAGAACAATATATTTTCACGTCTGTGTTGAAATGAAATATGATTTCAACTTTTCGTCAACATTGAGGACCATTTGAAGACTTGGTTTATTCAGTATTAAGATATTCACTGTCATAATGTTTATTTGTGGAGATTTCAGATGCATAGACTTGGAACTGTGAACACTAGCTGTGTTGGATAACAATTCTAAAGATATTTCTAAACAACGCTCTTATGGCCTCATTATGTTATATTCACATAGCTATATTGTAACCTAATGTACCACCTGACACTTTTTATGATGAAACACCTTGGACTAGGAAAGGTAGTTTGTGTGGATATCTGAATCTGATGTAAATGACAGGGTGATGGGATTTTTTCTTAAAGCAGATAAAAAACTGCCAAAATATCAAAGTTCACTGCTGGGGTGCAATTTGGGTTTGAAGTAGCTCAACGCATCACACAACAATAACATTCATATATTACAGCTTGAACCCTTGTCATTAAAGCTACAAAAACTCCATTTCTCAGTTGTTTATTATATATATTATCAACATTAAGCATTTGAATTTAAATTGTATTGACACCATAAAAAGTTTTCAAGTAGAACAAGAGTTGTGTAAGTTTTCTGCCTTCAATAGTATCAACTTCCTATTTTCTATTCTGTTGAATACATGGATACTATGAATATAATAACATTAATAAGTTTTTCACAATATTTCCAAGAAAGCAATTACTTGCAGTTGTATATTCATGTAATTGCTTCATTTGAAATTGTCAACAGATATTTAGATAAATATTTCATTATGCTTCAATAAATATATTCAAATAAACATGTATTAATTAAACTATGTATTTCCAGATTGCCAGCAGTCCATAAAGTTAAAAATACTGTCCTTTAAATGATAGTTTATTAATTGCAACCAATGTTAGGCAGTTTTACCTTTCGAGATAATTTTCCTGGAGCTTCCCTATTTTTCTGCAAGTGAAGCTGAATAACAGATTTATCTTTCTGAAATATTTTGTGACTTCCCAAAGAGTGATCACTGTAGGAAAACAGCAACAACAACAACAATTATTTCTTTCTTTAGACCCTAAAGAATATATTTTCCTATGTAAAAACATCTTTTTTTGGAATTCAGCATGATGTTTTTTAATTAGTTACCCTTATTTTGTTCCTTTTAAAATAACAAGATGTTACAATTATTTTCAAGTGCCTTAAGTTAGAAAATGACCAAGTATCGCTAGAATGGGCATAATATAATTAAAATACAGAATGTATATTCTAAGTTAATTTCACCCACCCATCTCAAAATTGAGAGCAAGATTCTTCTGGGACAACTAACTGAGAACACAGTATGACAATATGTACCCGGGACTATTGTATCAGGGAAGCAGAGCTGTGTATGAAAATGCTGTAAGCTTTAACAATAGATTCACTAGCTCTGTGACTTCATGTGAAACATTCTTCATTTTAGAGTTGATATATTAATATTTACATCAAAACATTGAAAAGGTTAAACAAAAATATTCTTACATATTTCAGAAATTTCTCTTTGTTCTTTCTTTTCCTCCCCCTTTTCCCCCCTTTCCTTTAGGCTTCACTCTCCTTTTCCTTCCCACTCCCTTCCCCCTTCCTTTTTTTTTGTAATACCAGTTATTGAATGCAAACAAATCCAAATTTAAATGGTTTCTTCTTCTACTATTTACTGAAGATAGCAACTGGTGACACTCAGAATAGGCATACCTATGATTCTTCAAATCAACCTCTCCAAGAAGCTCAGACCTTTGCTTCCTGGGACACTTTACTATGAGACAGAAATTAGTGTGAATTGAAGTTAACTGAAGCACTTCAGTCTGAGGAGAAGTCTGTAGTTCTTACCCTTCTCCTAACTGAGGAAGAATAAAGACTGAGGAAATAATCCAGATGTAGGATTATCTGCAGAACTGTCTTCTCTAAGAAGCTCATCCTATTTGCAGCGTAAACATGAGTCACCCCTCTTCTGCATGTCAGCTCTCCTCCTTCCAGGCTTCTGACTTACTCCTTAAGTCAGGATTTATGCCCTCTTCTCTCTGACTGATTCTGGAATCCTCATGAATTCTTAAATTCTCAGATAATTGATTTTTTGCTTTTGCTATCCTGTGTGATGCTGTTGTAATTTCTGACCTAGAGGAACCCAGAGGGGTGGAATAATTTCCCATATCTGAAGTTAATTTCAAGTTCTACAAGATAGCAGCTGAGTCTATATATATATATATATATATGTATGTATGTATATAAAATATATATAATATAAAATATAATATACTATATTATATATATATATAATATAATATTTTATATATAATATGTTATATATTAGAATATATATTATATATATATATATATAATATATATATACACTCCACATTTTCACAACTGAAGTGCATCAAAGCAAAATCAACAGCTCTGTAAAGATAATTACAGCCCCTGCATATTTGGGAGCAAGCGCATAGCAGAAGAGGGTAAGAAAAACTGTAATTGAATGGTATTTGTAGTGACACTGGGCAGTAGGACCCATAGGAAGGAGAGGAGACTCCTATGTAAGTTGTTAACTTGTTACATGCCCACATCAGCAACTCTGGAGATCCAGCACTGTACTGGAGAAGGGATGCTCAAAGGGGTGAAAACTGAGATACCTTAACTGAATACGCTCACAAACCACAGTTTAAGGACCTAAATCTTAATAATAAGAGCAAGAAATCCAGTGTAAGGTCCTGGGGCTCTGGGGCTCAAAGCAAAGAGAAATTTTGCTTAAGTCAAGGATATAAAATATGCCCATAATTCTTAAGCACTTGTCATTTTCAAGAAAGATTATTTACTTTTTCCTTACCATGCTGTCAGGAAGGAGTAAAAATTACCTTCTCTCATTCTGGGGATTTTCTTGGGCTGGTCAAATAATCAGATTAACGCCAAAAGCATGAGCAAGAAAAAATCAATTATGTACATAGAGGGGATTTATGTAGAAATGAGGTTTTCAAAGATAATGAGGCAAAAATGGAGTTTATATTCCAAACCATGGAAAGGATAGGAGTTTGGAACTTGAAGTACAGGAGGGATTTTACATAAAGAATCAAGAGTGACTTATGTGGCGAAGACTAGATGTTCAGTAATTATTTGCCTTACCATATAGATGTTTCTCCAAGATACATCTGTTTTCCTTCCAGGGAATAACAGTTATATACAACTGTTTCCTTCCTTGGGAGGAAAACAGATGTAGGAACACTCTAGGAAATAGTATTTCTGGCCTTACAGCTGAGCTCAAGTTTAACAGTAATGATTTTCTAACTCTACTTTCTAAAGATTTTTTTAAAACATACATTATTAGTCATGCTATTATCTGAAAGCTTCTCTCTCAAAATAATGGATTTATTTTCTTAATACTCTGACAGCATAAAAGGTCGTGTTTATTGCAAACGTTTTATAAATTAAAAAAGAGAAATGAATATATATCATCTGCATTGTAGCTCTTTTTCAGTGTTTCAGTATTTCAAATAATACTCTTATTTTAATATATATGATTTCATTTGTTCTTCCAAAAGAACAATTTTAAGTTTCATTTTAAAATAGATTTGAAATACACTAATCTGAACAAAATTAATGCCTTAAGATGTAGTTTGAAAACATCTTCACCATTAAACTATGATGCATGTTTTTGTGAAGGTATGTTTTTAATAATGTATACATTTTGTGCTATATTATAAGTTACATTCATGATCTATTTGTTTACTAGGAATTAATGAATATATATATATTCATGTGTATATGTATATGCATATACATAAACACACATGTATATATATATGTATATATAGAAGCAGAATTGCTGAAATGTGTGTTTTTGACACATTTCTGTAGTTTTTTTGACACATTTCTGTAGTTTTTTTGACACCATTTTGAAGAAATTCCCTTTAACAGTACTATCTCAATGTGTATTTCTAGCAGCTGTTTGGATATGCTCCATTTTCCCACTGAACTTCATCATAAATGTCTTAATAATTTGATAGGCAAAATATCAGTTAACTCTTTCAATAATTTCTTGTTTAGGGAATTGTTGCTCACATTGTTGAATTTTTTTCATGCTAATTATCTTAAAAAACAAGATATAAGTTCATTTCATATATCTTTAGGCTATGTATATTTTGTCACATGAAACTAGTTTCTTTTCTTATTATTTAGCCTTTAAAAATTATTTGATCTGTTGACTTTTTGTTATACCAATTCCTTATTCCTACCATTAATTCCTCTCTTCTCTCTGATCTATAGTCTCTTGGTATATAATAATATTAATTCTGCCCTTATAGTAGTACAACATTGTAATAGCCATTGACATGGTGTTATGACTTCCTTAGGCACAGGAGGGAAGGAGGATTATATGTGAAGTATCTTTCAATGCTTGTGCTTAAGCAAACACCATGCACATGTATGACACTCAACAGGTTTTGAATTGAGCTGTTACGTCTACAATCCTTGCGTGAAGACACCTGCAAAACTGTATATATTTTCTACTCTTTGCTTCTGCATAGTCATTAGCTGTTTTCATTATCCCACTCAAGAGCTTTTGAGATATTATTATATGTTTAAGAGCCAGGGCTGTGCAGTTTATTAAATCAAATTTTAAATCAGGCTTCACTCTACTAGTTTCCAAGTTATATGACCTTCAACAAACCTTGGAATATCCTATCTGTAAAACAAGGGCTATTTGTTTCTTTGATATATTAATCAACAGACTTGCAAATCTGTCCAATATGCAATAAGCAAATTGGAGTTAAAGTGTAGCAGTTAAGTGGCCTCCCCGGTGGCACAGTGGGTTAAAGCACAGCACTGAAAAGCTAAAGCCTCTTTAGCATGAGTTCAATCCCTGCCCTGGTGGTGACTCACATGGTGCAGCAGACCTCTCCTGACATGTCCACTGCAGCCATCAGCAGTGCACTTTCTCAGTCTGCCTGTTCTGCTCCCCACTCTGTCTCTGGTGAATCCTCTCACTATCCCTGCACCTCTGGCCTGTACACCAGCTCTGTATGCATAAATAAATAAATCTTAAAAAAAAAAAAGTAACAGTTAAAACGTGACTGTCGGCCCTCCCTGGTGGCGCAGCGGGTTTAAAGATTTAAAAAGATACTCCCGCATGTTTAAAGATTTATTTATTCATACAGAACTGGGTACAGGCCAGAGATGCGGAGGGTGAGAGGATTCACAGAGACAGAGTGGGGCACAGAACAGGCAGATTGAGGAAGTACACTGCTGAGGGTAGCAGCGGGCGGGTCAGGAGAGGTCTGCCTTGCCATGTGGTCACCTCCGGGGAAGGCGGGAATCAAGCTCATGCGGAAGTGGCTTAAGCTTCTTAGTGCAGTGCCACCAGGAAGGGCCCAGATTTTCAAATATTTAAGGACATATTTTTTAGAGTTATACTGGAACACATTAAAAATGCTAAATAAAATAAATATTTCTTTAGATGTAATGAAAATTTGGCTAGTTAAATCATATCAGTGCAGGTGAGCTGTTCATCTTCAATACTAAACAAATCCATGGTATGTACATAGTCTCCCATTCCCATTAAAGAAAAAACGAGTATAATTAATTTATATTAATACTTGACAACTTTCCTATATTAGTGGACTCCAGGTAAATGAATGTTTAATAGAAATAAATCACCATGTATATATTGAAAATTAAAGAGTAAAATAATATGTATTACATTTTTTTAGCAGTAACAGTTAAGCTATATAGTTAAGGATAATTTCTCCCCTTGCAACAGTAATTGAGTCAAGGTCCATTATAATATTTTTCCCATATTATGCTTTGCCGAATTTCTCTATCATCAACACTTTGCTTTTTGCAAGATATTTCCTAGTGGCAATATTGAATGCAAATATGTGTTGCAGTTTCTTTTTATAGATATCTAATATTTGGACATCAGTCAAAATCCAAAAGCTTATTTGGAACCCTGTACATTGGCAATGTGAGTTTTATTTCATAGTCAATATATGATGATATTAACTCAAATATATCTTCTTGATCTTTGGAAATCTTGTTAAAGTCATGTGTTGATAAAAAGGTAGCAGTCTAGTCATTGTATTGAGATGAAATAGACAAGGGAAAAGGGGCATATCTGTGAGGAGAGAACAATGCTACATATGTTATTTCACTTAAATATTTATTTTGTGTTTGGGAACACAGAAAAATAATCAGTCTTAAAACTCACTCAGATAACATTGCACAGTCTTAAGACTTGACTTACTCATAGTAATAATGTTAAATTCAACAAATAACTCACAAGACATTTTTAAGAACATTTCTAATGAGCATAAAAATGGGTATGTCAAAGAGAATTCAATTTTAATTTCATGAGATAGTCATCAATGTTTAGAATCTTGTAGAAGCCCAAAACTGAAATATAAGTGAAAGTTTACTTTATTGACCACTTTAGTCTTTTTTACTTTAATGTTTTGAATAGCTATGTAATGTCATCAGAAAAATATTTCCTTTCTTAAAGTTGTATTAGGTTTTCAAGACTGGTCTTGAAGGAATTTCAGACCAAATAGTTTAGTTATGATGCACTAAGGAGGAGGAATACTCTGTCAAAATAGTATTTGCAGTTGACATACATGAGACAGGCTGTTAAAATTATTTGAATGAGTTGACTAAATAAAGAATTGAAGTAGGTATCTTAAAATGCACTCATTATGAAAAAGGTTTTATGTTCATACTCAAACCCTTTGTGACTTTTAAAAGTCAGAATCAGTATTTAATCAACATACTAATGTACCAAATCAAAAATCCTCTTACTATATAAGAATTATTTAAACTGTGCTCAGTCCTTGTAATTTTTATTACAGATAAGGTGACTTGGTTTGTGTAGGGTTTGCTTCCTTTTGAAATTGAGTCTCATGTTCTGGGAATTCCCTTCTTGGGCAAATTGAGATGGTCATTACCCTATCCACAGATCACTTAATAAATACATGTTGCTATGTCTATACAAGTTATACAATAAGACCATGACTAAGACTACTACTACGTCTCATAAAATTTCAAATTTACCTTTAAAAGGTAAAATTTACTTAATTTTATTAGTTGTAAGAATGTGGTATTTGTACAAAGTCTGCATGAAGAAAAAAAAGAAAGACGCATTGTTTGACATGAGTTAGAACAATCATCAAATTTACCTTAAAGAATACTTACTTCTGTAAAAACTCTTCACAGCCACATACACTGAGAAGATGATCTTTGGGGGATAATTGGTCATTTGTACAAAAGTGCAGAATTTCCGAAATTAGGTCTTTGACAGGATAATTAGCTAAACACAAAAATGAGTAAGAAAATGTAAATAAGAAATTATCACATATTGACTAAGAAAATGTTTCAAAGCACAAAGAATTATACAAAATTCAAAATTATGCTACATTGTGTAACTTCATCAAGAGACATTAAAATGAGATGCATTTCATTTTATTAGTCTGGTTAGAATTATAGATATTTTTGAAAACTATTATTTGCATTTTTATCACTTCAATGTTCATGTAATATTGTAGGACTATAGATTACAGTCTTCATGTTAAATCTTTGGTCCACTATAGCAGTATATAAAAATTATTCTGTAGTTAAGAGTTGGGGCTATGGAGATGCTAAAATCACAGCCAGAAAAGGTTTCCAGAGTTATTCTTTGCATTTTCAGCATAAATGAGACTTCTACCCATCTAAGGGTACCATTATGACAAAAAGATTCTCAATTAACTGGAATAAATATTTTCAATAAGTTAATTTTCTATTAACACATATTACTTAAATATACGTAATTTGGATTCATGCAGTGATATTTAGACAATTCTACTGTTTAGGATATGGTTATATTCATGTTTTGTCATGAAGAACTGGAAATAATATAGGCCTCACTACCATTTAATTGATTTACTTGGACATATATCATTTTACTTCTTCACACAGTTTCCACAATATAGTATTTTATTACAAGATCTATCTCCTTTAGGAATCTGGTGTGACTCTAACATTTAAAAATATATAGTCCATATGGTGATGGCACAGGGTAATTTGGTGATGGGAAGCCCATGGGGAGTACAACTGAGATGAAAAAAATGCACAAAATGATGTAGAAATAAACTATAATATATATATATATATGTGTGTGTGTGTGTGTGTATATATATATATATATATATATATACATATATAATATAGTCCAATGCATTTTATATATTTTGAAGTATTAAAAAATTATGATGATGAAGGCAACATCAAAAAACAAGAAAATCTCAGGTAAACACCCTAACTCCACACTTTAAGGAACTAGTGAAAAAAAAACAAAGAAACCCCCAATTTAGTAGAAGAAAGGAAATAACAGATGCCAGATTACAAACAAAATTGAGAAACCTTTATCTCTACTTATCAAAAAAAGGAAAATATTCATTTAGAAGGATATTTCAGCTGATACTATGGAAATACAAAGGATCATAATAGAGTGCTGTGAACAATTAAGCACCAAGAAATTGGACAACACAAGAGGAATGGATAATGGATATTCAACCAAGCAATATTGAAATCTGAAAAGTAGAATATTGGAAAAAATTAATAAGGACATTGAATAATTGTAGTAATCAAAAACTTCCCATTAAATAAGAGCCTTAAGATCAAATACTCAGAAAAATTAATACCTTTCAAAACTTTTTATAAAGTAGAAAAGGAAAGAATAATTTTTAGGGGAGGAAAGACAATATTCCTTCCACCCTATAGCTTTTGTTTAAAGAACCATATTAACAGGAGAAAAAAATGAATCTGTACATGCTAAAGCCAAAATATGTGTGCCTGTGAGAAAAATTGGGCAATTTCAGTTTATATTCTGTACAGAGATAAGGAATGAAATAGGGTCTGGCCCTTCAAAGAAGAGTAGGGGTAATTCCCATGATTATAAAAGGGCAGGTACTTGATAATTAGATGTTTGTCCTGCCATACAGATGGGTCATTCAGGTGAAAATTTATTCCCATTCCTGATTGTAGTTCACTTTCTGTATCAAACCAAACCATCTATTTAAATTCTTACTTAAATTATAGGTAATTTTTTTCTTTAATCTTTTGGGTCTTGATTCCCCTCAACTCAATAACTTGGTCCATGCACCAAGCTTACACATCAGGGGAGGTTTGCTTTGAATTTCTTCAGCTTTAAATTCATCACATGAAGCCAGTATTATCTTGATAACAAAGTGAGACACCATAAGAGATGAAAAGTACAGGCTAGCTAATAACTCGGATGAATTCATTTCTTCAAAAAAAAAAAAAACTAACAAACTTAATTCAATAATATATTAAAAGAAGCATAGACCATTATTCAGTGGGGTTTACTGTAGGATATATAGATGATTTAGTATCCTCAAATCAATCGATGGATGCAGAAAAAATATTTGACAAAATTCAACTTCTACTTATGATAAAAACACTAATAAACAAAGTGCACTTATGGTAAAAACACTAAACAAAATAGGTATTTGTGGGCTAAAACTCAACATAATAAGAGCCATATATAACAATATGGCGTTCTGTTCAGATGTGAAAAGTTAAAAGATAAAAAATCAGGAACAACACAACGATACATTACTTTTATTCAACACAGTGCTGGAAGTACCAGCTAGATCAATTAGGCCCTCCCTGGTGACGCAGCGGGTTAAAGCACAGCACTAAGAAGCTAAAGCCCCTTCAGCATGAGTTTGATCCCTGCCTGCCCTGGAGGTGATCCACATGGTGTGGCAGACCTCTCCTGACCCGCCCGCTGCTCCCCTCAGCAGTGTACTTCGTCAGTCGGCCTATCCTGCTTCCCACTCTGTCTCTGGTGGATCCTCTCACCAACACTGGACCTCTGGTCTATACCCCAGTTCTGTATGCATAAATAAATCAGTCTTTAAAAAAAAATGAGGCATCCAAATTGAACAAGATGATATAAAACTATCTTATTTGCTGGTAACATGATATTATATGTAGAGAACAGTAGATTCCACAACAAAAGCAAAACCAAACATAACTTTGATCTAATTAATTGATGTTTCAGGATATAAAATCAATATACAAAAATTGTTCAGTGAATATTAAAATGAATTATCAGATAAATTAAGTAAATATTCCCATTAATTACTTTAAAAAGAATAAAAAGTAGCTTGAAATAAATATAACCAAATAAATGAAGGACCTGTGCACTGAAAACTGTAACATATTGGTGATAGAAATTGAAACAGACACAAGTAAATGCAAAGAAATTCCATAATAATGATTAAAAATTTACACATTGTTAAACTCTATGCTATCAAAGAAATATATAGATTGATTCAATGTAATCCCTTTAAAAATTCCATTGTCTCTTTTTACATAAATATGAAGAATCTGTTATGAACCAGAAAGACTGAGTAGCTAAATCATTCTTGAGAAGGAAAATCGGAGTTGAAGTATCACACTTTCAATTTCAAGTTTTGCTACAAGGTTATAATAAAGTCTTCAAAAAACAGACATATGGATAGTAGAACAGAATAGAGAACTCTAAAATTATGAATATATCATTCTTAATTATCTATTTATCTGTTTGTTTAAGTACTGATTGTGCATCTATCCCACTAGGTTAAGGTATCATGGTAGAAACAAAAGTTATGCAGTTGAAATTCCTAATTGGAATATATATTAGTATTAAAATTAATAGTACCTACTATTTTACTAATTATTAACTGATTTACAGGCTGTATTTTGTTTATCATAGCTACAATAGAGGTATATATCATGTTCTGTAGATAAACTGACTGACTTTCAGAATTTATACAATTTGCACAGTGAATGAAATTGCAAGCCCAGAGTCTAACCTAAATCTATCAGATCCCAAAGCTTGTGCATTATTTCTAAATCTAAATTCTAAATCTAATTCTAAAACTCTACAATTGATTGTTTTTTCCTTTCCTAAGTAGAATCATTCAAGGTTCTATCTTGGATAATGTTATAAAAATCTTAATGGACATGTGTGTTCTCAACTTTCCGTGGGACCTGACGGTAAAGCATACTATTGGATAAAGTCTCTGATTTCTCATATCCACATATTTTCCATCATTTCCCTTGTGGATACTATTTAGTAGTTACCTGAACCACGGTGACTTGTTAGAATTATATTTGTATATGAAATGTTTCCTTAGTAATTACTATATTCCTTAGTAATTTCCTGTAGTCTCTGAAAGCAAATTCAACAGGATGGGCTGGTGACCCTTAGTAAGAAGTTGAACTGCTTTCTGCAGTTTGTTGTTGCATTAGTCTGAGTTGCATTCAGCTGCAGTTGTGTGTTTATTTTGCTATTTGCTATGACTTCTTTTACTGTCAAGCATTTTTGTTTTTAGTTAGATATTTTTAATACTATCTGTGTGATAAAAAGTGATACTGTAAAAGGGAAGAGTATCATGCTGGATTAAAGATGTAGATTTAATGGTAGATGAAATTATTGAAGAATTGTTGGAGAAATAAATGTAAAGATCATCAGGGCATTCAGAATTGTAAAAATGCTTTGGTGTGGCAGAGAGTATCTAAAACATACTGATGCTTGCAAATATTGACTGACAACGAATTAAAGAAATATGGCAACATGCAAAATCTTGACTATAATGACTGAAAACTGTTAGAGACTCCCCTAAATGATTAAGTCCAGGGACCCTTAAGGCGGAATAATTTACCAGAGAATTTCTGGAGAACCAGGCAAAGCTTTATTAGAGGCCTGTGCATGAACAGGAACCAGTGTTAGAAAGAAGATCTGTGTTGCATCAATTTATTCCCACCAATATTGCACAAGGGTACTGTTTTTCTCCATATCATTGTCAATACTTGTTATTTCTACTTTTGGATAGCAGGCACTTTCACTGGTGGGAAATGTGGTTTTGATTTGCATTTCTTTGTGTGTCTTTGGAAAAAAATGTCTATTTAGTTCTGCCCAATTTTTAAATAGCTAGTTCTATTGCTGTTAAGTTGTATGAGTCTTTATATTTGGAATGTTAACCCTTTATGAGCCATATAGTTTGCAAATAAATAATAACAAATCCAATGTAATATGAAAGGGGAAATTCGTCATGCACTTCCTCCAGGGGTGTTAGGCTGAGGTTTATAAATGGTCAGTCCATGAGAAGAAGCAGGCAGGAGCAGTGTCAGAGCTTGTGCTGGGCTGAGCTATGCCTGCACATGCAGCAACAGGTTACATTCTTTTTTTTTTTTTTTTTAAAGATTTATTTATTTGTGCATACAGAACTGGGGTATAGGCCAGAGGCTCAGGGGCGGTGAGACGCTTCACTAGAGACAGAGTGGGGAGCAGAACAGGCAGATCTACGAAGTACACTGCTGAGGGAAGCAGTGGGCGGGCCAGGAGAGGTCTGGCTCGCCATGTGGTCTCCTCCAGGGCAGGCGGCAGGCGGGAATCGAACTCATGCGGAAGTGGCTTCAGATTCTCAGTGCAGTGCTTTAACCCGCTGCGCCACCAGGGAGGGCCTACATTCTTATTGTGTATGTGGTGCCCTAGTCCTTCCCCTTCCAGGAAATTATGAGACAATCACTAGTAAGGATCTAAAGTTTTTTTATCTAGCTTAGCTCCTTTTCTCAGTTTGTTGGGCCAAATTGTATGGATAGGATTTTGAGAGCCCGCCATTCTCTGATTCTGTCCACTTGTTTAAATAAGGCTTGTGACAGCTCATGCTATCATCTCTCAGTTTCTTTTAACTAAATTCTCTTTAGGGGAACGTGTCTTTAGTATACCACGGCAGGAATAGCTCTCCAAAAACGCCGGGTCACTTATGAACAATTTGACTCTCCATTTCCAGGACTGCCATCCCTGTGCTATATGGAGCGTGTATGAATTCATATTTCAGTAGTCATCTTTTCACTTCACATGAAAAAATTCTGTTCCAATTTCTAGGTATTTCCCATCACCTGAGCTTTAATTTGTTGTCTCTTACTACCTGCTTCATGTTACTCTTTGGCTGTTTTATTATTCAGTTTCCATAAGTCTGAACCTCAAGTTATTGTATTACCCTTAAAGCCTATCTTTAAAAAGACACAAATTTGTGTCGTTTACATCATAACCCAGAAGTTTGGTGACTTTTAGAAAGTGGGTTATGTACCTGTATCTTTAGCTTTGCAGCTGATGTAACCATCTCTCCACTTTATTACAGTCTCTCATTCCATAAAATCCTCAATCTGTTGATCATATTGCCTACTGTATTGAAAAGGCTATTTAAGATTCTTACCCATTTAAGATTCTTTAATTATACTATTCTACACTCAAATAGAGTTATTACCCATTGTCTCTCATTTCACTTTTTGAGATGTAAGTATCCCTGTTCTTTACTGAATCTTACATCTTAAAATGTGATTTTTCTATGTGGGGTTCAATTTCAGTAGTTAAAATAAATACTCATTATCTCCCAATCTAAAGATATTTTCCCTTTCCTTGCAAATGCTGTTTTTGTGGAATATTACAGTAAAATTTCCCGTTACCCATTCTATTCCTTAATATATAATTGCCAATTTTCTTCACAAAAATGATAACTATTTTTTTCTTACTAAAACAATAGTCATTCAGTATCTTGGTCAGAGAAAAGAAAATGAGACTTCAAGTGTAGAAAATATCTGCAATGTTGCCATATTAATTTGAAAATTTGTATGTATTTGCTTGAATTCATTGTTATGTTTTAAAAAATAGGTGAATTCTATAGACAGTTCTCAGTTTCTCTTTAATCTTTGCAGACTGATTTCTATTCCAACCACTACCCAAGTCACAGATTGCCTCCTGAAAGACAATTACAATGATGCATCTTCTTAACCTTGAAGATAGTTGAATTAAAGACCTGGACCATAAAGCAGATTTGGAGTTGACAGTAAAAACCTGGGAATCATTCTCCTTTAAATGATAGCTGAAGATTGCAGAGAGAAAATTTCTTGTTTAAAACACCTTCCCTAGGTAGATTACATTTCCTCACTGTGAGGAGACATGAGTTCTTTTTGGATGAAAACCTGTCACCAATTTCCTCCTATGATCTCAATTTCATTAATTCTGTTTAATTTTCTGGATTTAAATTCTTTCGATTTTTATTCTTTAGAGTACATCTCTGTTACTAGTACATGTAGTGAAGGGGTTCAGTTTTGACATAAAGATTATGTTAAATTGAAAACATTTGAAATTTTATCTAAACTTTTTTACTTGACTAAAGAGACTACTTAATCTACTAACTTCCTTGTAAGGAAGTTCCCTTGTATCTTACAGAAAGGAGGCAGGATGTCTATCTGGTAGCATACTAAAACCAATGTAATTTTTCATATTTCTTTTGAAATTAAACACCTCTCCCAACTTTTTCCTCCCAATAGTGTCATGAGTTACTCTGTATATTTACAGGATTTTGTCCTTTATCTTCCTCAATTTCTTTTTTCTTATTCCCTGCTGTAAATCAGTTGTTTTCCACCCTCCTCCTTATAAATACTTTTAATAAATTTGAGAACAAACATCATCTTTACCACTCTACATCTCTGAACACAGTGAATCAGTTACTTCACTGAAACTTCTCATAAAAGTCAAGAATTGGCCCTCCCTGGTGGCACAGCGGGTTAAAGCACTACACTAAGAAGCTAAAGCCACTTCCGCATGAGTTCGATCCCCGCCTGCCCCGGAGGTGACCATCTGGCGTGGCAGACCTCTCCTGACCTGCCCGCTGCTCCTCTCAGCAGTGTACTTCGTCTATCTGCCTGTTCTGCTACCTGCCCTGTGTGTGGTGAATCCTCTCACTGTCCCTGCACCTCTGGCCTGTACTCAGTTCTGTATCCATAAATAAATAAATCTTAAAAAAATAAATAATAAATAAAAAAGTCAAGAATCATCATCTCTAATGTGTCAAATTCAAAAGAAGATCCAGAAAGAGATCTTGGAAATTAAGTAATGTTTACTGGAAGAAAATAAGTGGACTTTCTAGTCATCATTAATCCCTGTTCTCCAGTAACAAAACATTTTAATGCGGACCATAGGTCATTTTTATGATTTTATAATAGTACAATAACATTGATTGTCACTGTATAATCAGCATCGTGCTTTTAGATATTTGATGTTCAGTCCAATAGAGAAAGTAAACTTTTTATTGATAACTATCCGAATGCCATTCTGAAAAAGCAAGGGAAATGAATCAGCAGAAAGCAAGAGAAACATGAGAAGCAGTTACACAGAGGGATGAGGTGAGAGGTATGTAGGAATTTTGGACAGGGATGAGGTGAGAGGTATGTAGGAATTTTGGACTGCTTACTCCTTCATGTTGTTAGTACCTTCCAGAATATTCGCTGAATTCCCATTCTTGAGTTTTGTGAGCAATCTCTTCTGTTTTTTTTTTTTTTTTTTTTCTGTGTAAGTCAGCAGGAATTGGTTTGTATTAGTCTCAAACCAAATAGTCCTAACTGATATTCAAAATGTTTGTGGTCATCTGTACTAATTTGGAGCCTTGAAGTGAGTAAGAAAAAGCAAAATAGCAATAATAATGTTGGTTACTGAAAGACATTTTATTGGATCATTATGTGTCAAGAAGCAAAGTTGACATGCAGAACTTATTTAGCATCAAATAAAAAAGCTATTTTTTGCAAAATAGCTTACTATGATAGTGAAATAAGGTTATACACAACTTTAAATAGATCTGAAAACTTTAGAGAATTAAGAATCTATGATCCTTCCCAGAGACTCCACTTCATTATATCTGCTATGTATCTGCTAGCATCTACTAGGCAGCGCAAGGTAACATTAGTTCTTATTTTGGAAATAGTATCAGTGCTTATTCCAACTCACAATTTATACTGAAATGAAGGCATTTCTTCTAATAAATGGAATAGCTATTTTCACTTACAGCCTTTAAAAATGCCATTTTTAAGATTTTAATAATTTGTTTTATGTGCTGTTACTTTTTTTTTTTAAGATTTGTGTATTCATGTAAGAACTGGGGTGTAAGCCAAAAGTATGGGGGTAAGAGGATTCACAGAGACAGAGTGAAGAGCTGAATACACTGCTGAGGGGAAAAGCAGGTGAGACAGGAGAGGTCTGCTGCTGTGCCTTGCGGGTCAGCTCCCTGGCCAGGGATCAAACTCATGCTTCAGTGGCTGCAGGATAGCTTCATAGTGCTGAAACTTAACCCCTTGTGCCACCAAAGAGACCTCTGCTAAGCGTTTTATAATAGGAAACCTATCCTGAGGTGAGCTATGAGAAGAGCTTTTGAAAACAATAGCTAAACAAATCTCAAACAAGATTCACAGCAGCTTTTCTCTTATTTTGCTTAAAGGCAAACATACTTGCTAATAATACTTATATTCATGATTTCAGTTTAAGGACTTAAGACTATTCAACATACTTCACTATGGAAAGATGATGTTTGTGGAGCTGTTTTTAAAAATGGGGCTGAACAGCCATTATAGAGAACTGCCTTACCTGTCTTGTTTGAACTGAACCAGAGAGCTTTAGATTAGGCCAAAAGCAATTGTTTAAGAAACCACTGGCCAGCAGTGGCTCAGAGATTACCTTGATTAGGCTGGTGACTATGGACTTTTTGCTCTAGGATAGAATCAGTTTTTTCTTTTAATACTTAACCTTTTCTCTCCATAAAACCCAACATTATTCCACCTGGGAGCACATTACATTTCGTCCTGAATCTGTGCCGTAAAATGTAATTCTTGGATGCTACAAAACACTGTACCATTCTAATGGCCTCCTAAATTTTAGTTTGACACCAAGTTCATGTAGATTTGTATTTATTTGTAAGGTTGCTTACCTTGTGGCATAAAATGAAGTACTTGTGTTGAATTATCAGTGAAAATATTTACATTAAGCTTAGTATTAGAGAAGAGCTGATGTGGAAATGCTGTAATAGTGCTCCAGATCTTCCCCGAATTGGTTTTAATGTCGGTTGCATGGTATGTTTCTCTTACTCTGAAAAATACATGTAACAAAAATACTTAGGACAAGGTCAGAAGAAACGTCATGCAGAGTTTTAATCTATTTGATTTAAAAACAGTTGAATTGTGGTGCAGTGCTGTTAGTTGGGGTAGATTTGTAAAAATTACAATTATACCAAAAACAATTTAAAGGACTTTTCCTTAGGCTCTGCAGAAACACCACTTTGGAAGCAATTAAAAACACATTGTCTTTATTAGAAATAAGAATTCACTCAGAAAATACTTCAGTGACTTTGCTTCTGAAACTTGAAACCTGCCCTTGGTTTTCTCTTGCTTTTCACTTTCTTAAGAGGAAAATTTCATCTTGATGGAAGGATTTTGGTAAAAATTCTCACATGAAATTAGTACATGCTTAGTATTGGTACATTCCTAACTGTCCATTTGCTTTATTTATTTATTTTTTTACTCATCATAAATGTTTACATTTCACATAATGTATCAAGCCTCGAAGTCATTTATATGTTATGGGCGATTCCTTCCATGAGTCAGAGAATTGCAAAACGGTTTATCTTTGGACTCAGGAGCTTGAGTTTGAATCCTGTCTCTTCCACTAGTAGCTTTATGATTAGAGGCAAGTTCAGTGACCAGCTTCTTTGGTTACAAACAGAGGATACATAACATCTATGCATTTATTGTGAAGCTTATAGGAGGAAAGGCATATAAAACACTTTTGTAGAGTATAAATCAGTATACATATGTATCACAATGTTGTCATATACTATAGTTCAATCCATATGTCCATGTTTTATGCTCACATGTAAAATGTATTATTTGCAACTAGATACTTTAAAAGCTTTTGAATATGAATATGAAATATTTTTATATTAATTAGGGAGGCATTAAACTGTGTCATGCTCTTCTGAAATATATAGATTTTGTGTATTGTATGAGTACATGTCACGTACTTGGCATTCCCTTTAATTCTTTGTGAACATTAAAGTTAGTACCAAAGTCATTTAAGTCAGTCATTTCTATCTACACCCATAAATTCTTTGGAAATAGCTCCTCGTTAAAGGGCCTGACAAAAGCACAAGTGTACATTCACTCAAAGGGAATCGCAGGCAACAGAGTCACTTTTTTTTTTTTTTTTAAATCTGGACCCCATTCCTATAGTTTCTAACTCAATAGATCTATGGCTGGTCACCTAAGTTAGATTGCTAGCAATTTCCGAGGTAACTTTCCTCTACTGCTGCTTCAGAACTGCAATTTAAAAACTACAACTCCAGATAAAGATATGGGGGCACGCTCCCTTGTGATACCATATAACAAAGGTCTAGACTTCATTTCTGAATTGAGGTACCTTGCAATTTGGCATTTGCCATATAATAATATACTACTAAGAGCATGCATGATTTGAGTTTCTACCATTTTAGGAAATTACATATAAAGTGTAAACTCATGACTTGTTCTTTCACATAACTTCGCTGACCATCTAGTGTGGAACAAAATCTTCTTTCATATGTTATGACATTTTATTATATTTTTTACAAAATTATGACCTATTTGGAAAATGTGAATTAAAGTGTACATTAAAACAAGAAACCAAATCCAACTGGAGAGCCTCTTTACAGAGTATACTGCAGAATTGCTAATGACATTTAGTCATGGTAATTTCAATAATAGGGGAAAAGGTGAGATTGAATACCTAAAGTATTCTGTCACTACTTTCTAGCCTTGGCTGTCAAATTCAATTTTATCTTTTTTTTTTTAATAATCTTGGACAGTGGCTAGCACTTAGTGGGTTTTTGGAAATACTTGTTGATAAGTAAATAGTGTACTTATGCACAAAGTATACATATATAAATTTATTAATTTTATAAATGTTTGTTAGTAGCAAAATTGAAAGTGAAGACAAGTGTTTGAATATAACTCATGCCTTTGTTTTACCACTTAAAAGTTTTTATTGATTATTTTATTTCTCGCAGTTGCTTTGAATGAAACCATTAAGAAAAAATCTATTTTAGAGTTTAAAAAAATATACCATGACCACTGACAAACCATTGCATACTATTTTTCATGACACTGCTTATCTTTACAAGACCATTTCACCTAAAAATAATAGTTTTTCAAAAGAGCTATGTAAGTAGCAATATGAAGTGCTTTCTCAGTGGAGTTGTGCTGAGTGGTGTTTGGTAGGCTAATTATCATCCTTAAAGAGTGGAAATCACCACATCTTAGGTTTAACGCATCAAGTTCCTTGCAATGCTTATCAATTTTTTACTGTTTTACTCTTGAATAAAATAATACTGATATTTTTAGAGCTCTTAGTTTAGGAATTTAAAGTGCATTTAAAATTTTCTTCTGTGAATAGGAGTTAAGAAACTATATACTGAATTTTTTCATGGATTTAATATGATTTGTTCCATATTTTCATGTGTTCTTCAGTTCTTCCAATATAGATATAAATTTTTAGGGCAGGGGCCTTGTTTTTTTGTTTGTTCTGTCTTTGAATTTTTTATACATGGTCAATTTATGAGGCATTCATGTAGTCTTTAAATTAATAATTCAAACCTTTAATCCCAAATGATTGTGGTTAGTAGGCTGCTACAGCTGATAAATAAGGCAGTGCTTATTTAAATATATATTTATTATATTTAAAATAAGACAAAAATGGGAAAAATCAAAAAATTATGGGTCATTAATTTCTTAATTAATGACTGAGTAACTTCATCAGTAGAAGAAATGGCTTTGTATAAATTTTTCTTGCTAATGAGAAATTGGACTTTTTAAAAAAAGCATGTACTTTATAAATTCATTTTTAGATTATAAAAATGGGGATAAGTAATGCTTTTTAAAGATTTATTTATGTCTGTATACAGAACTGGGGTACAAGCTAGAGGTGCAGTGAGAGGATACACTAGCGACAGAGTGGGGAGAAGAATAGGCAGATTTATTAAGTACACTGCTGAGGGGAGCAGTCAGCAGTCAGGAGAGGTCTGCCACACCATGTGGGTCTCCTCTAGGGCTGGGGATCAAACTTGCACTGAAGCAGCTGTGGCTTGCTTGCAGTGCTGTGCTTTATCCTGTTGCACCACCAGGGAGAGCCCAAGTAATGCTTTTTATAATATCCCCTAGAAATCAGTTTTGATCTCAATCATATTTCTGAATAGTATATCCCACATAGAAAGGATAAGTCTGTGATGATTTTGAACAGAGCCATTGGACTCTGTTTTGTTATTAAATGACACAATTCACTGAAAATTAAACTACTAAGAAATAGCAAGGCCAGGTCTGAAATAATGAACCATGCAAAATTTAAACACATTTCTGAGAGAAAAAAAAGTTTAATTTCATTATAGAAGCAAAATAACACTAGAAGCTGATTATGAATATATTGTCATAAATTTGTTTTTGCTATTTTCAAAGATATTTAATATTTTATGTGTAAAATTAACCAGCTCTTGTCATTAAAATAGGCCTGTTTATTTAGATGCAGAAATAGCAAAGTTTAATGAAATAGTAACACTCACTTTTTTACATTGTCACAGAAGGAGACCAGACTCTTACTACTGCCTTGAGGTACTTCGACTAGTTGAATGGAACACCCTATAAACTTTAAAATAAAAACAATTACATTAATATAGTTTGGTATGGAGTAAAGAAGAATACAGTTCTAAAATTTTCATTCTACTTTTTAAATGTTTAATGAATATTTATAGAAAAAAACATAATTCAGTTGTGAAAAATGTCTGTCAACTGTTATATTAATACCACAATCAAGATACAGAGCATGTCTGTCTCTTCAGAATTGGCCCCCACATCTCTTCCTTGTTACCCTGTATAACTGTGAGAACCTGTATTATTACTGTTAATCAGATTCCTATCCCTGTAGATTAGGTGCAAGTGTTGGTCTTAAAGGATATTTAAAAGTTTATGTTTTCTATCTTAAAGGATATTTAAAAGTTTATGTTTTCACATTTTGTTAGTTCATTTATTCTTGAAATTTAGTAGTAATCTAAGTCATGAATATACCAGTTTGTTTCATCTTCCTATTGATGTTTTTAAGTTTTAGGTATTTGATAAGGAAGTTTTTAAGTTTTACATACAAATATTTTTATGGATATGTGATTCATTTCTACAGAAAGAATCCTGTCAGGGTAGTAGTGCAGTTAACTTTAAAATATATATATATATATATATATATATATTTTTTGCTGTATGTATTTTGAAGCTGTTGCTAGGTACATACATATTTAAGTTTATTATATCTTCCCCCTCACTTACATTTTTATGTATGTGATCCTTTCTCTTTTTGTAACAATACTTTCTTTAACAATATATGTATATTTATGAATAATTAATCTCATCAACTGTAATTGTGCCAATTGAATATTAGGTCTTTTTTCTTGTACTTTCAACTTACTATGTCTTTGTTTCCTAAGTTTGTCTGTCACAGATAGTAAAGACTTCACTTTATGTCATTTTTCCTTTTACTTGAAAAATTTAGTGTATATTTGATATATTTATTTGATTTAAGATTATTCACATTTGTATGTTTCATTTTGTTGTTTTAGTTCTACTTCCCTACCCTTTTTGGTTTGATTTCATTTTATTTCTGTTTACTTTTTTCTTTTTCCTTCTTTGTATTTTTCAATGGTTATATTAACTTTAAGCTATGCATCCTTAATGTATTACACTTTATGTAAAGTTGATACTGCCCCACTGCATTTAAAAATATAAGAGTTTACAATTGCAAAGTAATGTTTTCTTTTTTCTTTTGTCATATTATATATACAGGAAATCTCATGATAAGTGCTGCTTTTGCTTTAAGCAATCAGCTGTCTTTCAAAAAATATTTATGATGAAACAGTATTACTTATTTACAAATATCCATACCATTTGTACTATTCTTCATTCCCCCCTAGATTCCAGATGGTATCATTTTCCTCGTAGCTAAAAGCACTTTGGTATTTCTTGTGTGCATGTTAGGTATTTTCTCTTATCATTTGTTTATATGGTCATCTGTATATATCCTCTTACATTTTGAAGCATATACTCAGTAACTATAGAAATATAGGTCCTTCCTCATGGGTTTAACATACATCTGTAGGACACTGTATCGTAAAAATCCAAGTACACATTTGTTTTTTCAAGTACACCAAAATCATTTTCCAAAATCAATTACAAACTGGGCAACAAGACAAAAAATCAAAAGTTACGTTAAGGTCAAAATCATTCCAACTATCCTTTCTGATCATAAAGGCATCAAACTAGAAATAAACCATGAAAAGAAAACAAACAATCCTCTCACTTCATGGCCATTGAAAACACAGTACTGGAAGACCATTGGATTAAAGAGGTGATCAAACAAGAAATTGAAAAATACTTTGAGTCAAAGACAAGGAGGACACCACTTTCCAGAATGTACGGGTCACAACAAAAGCAGTAATAAGTGGAAAGTATATAAGAATACAGACTCGCATCAAGAAAGAAGAGAGAACACAAAGAAACAACGTAATCTCCCATCTCAAAGAGCTAGAAAAAGAATAACAACAAAATCAACAACTAGTAGAAAAAGGAATTAATAAAAATAAAAGCAGAAATAAATTAAATAGAATTTTTTTAAAAATCAGGTGATCACGAATACAAAAGCTGTTTAAAAAAAAAATAAAATTGACAAACCTCTAGCCAGCTCATGAATAAAAACTGGAGTAAACAGAAATTAATAGGATCTTAAACAAAAGAGGAGGAATTACAACTCAGTAGGTATCAAAAGAATAGTCCTTCCCTGGTGGCACAATGGGTTAGGACGTAGCACTGTAAGCTAGCCACAGCTGCTTCATTGTGAGTTTGAACCCTGGCCCTGGAGGTGATCCACATGGTACGACAGACCTCTCCTCTCTTGCCTGCTGCTCCCCTCAGCTGTGTACTTCATCAGTCTGCCTGTTCTGCTCCCCACTCTGGTGAATTCTCTTACCACACCTGCATCTCTGGCCTGTACCCAAGTTCTGTATGCATAATAAATCTTTTTTTTAAAAAAGAAAGTAATCAGGCCCTCCCTGGTGGCGCAGCAGGTTAAAGCACAGCACTAAGAAGCTAAAGCCACTTCCGCATGAGTTCAATTCCCGTCTGCCCCGGTGACCACATGGCGTGGCAGACCTCTCCTGGCCCGCCCGCTGCTTCCCTTAGCAGTGTACTTCCTCGATCTGCCTGTTCTGCTCCCCACTCTGTCCCTGGTGAATCCTCTCACCCTCTGCATCTCTGGCCTGTACCCAGTTCTGTATGAATAAATAAATCAATCTTTAAAAAAAAAAAAAGGAAAGAAAAGCAAGTAATCAAAAAAATAATCAGATTACTATAAACATTTGTATACAAACAAGTTCAACAATTTGGAAGATGGACAAATTTCTAGAATGATACAGTCATCGAAAGCTAGATAAAGAAGAAATAGAACACCTAAACAAGCCAATTACAAGCAGTGAAACTGTAACATTAATCAAACCCTCCCCCAAAACAAAAGCCCAAGACTAGACCGCTTCAGAAATAAATTCTACCAAACATTCAGAAATGAACTAGTACCTGTCCTACTCAAACTTTTTACAAAATTTGAGGAAGAAATACTACCAAATACGTTCTATGAAGCTAACATTACACTAATACTAAAGCCAAAGACAACACAGAAAAGAAAACTACAGGTCATTCTCCCTAATTAGCATCAATGCAACAATCTACAATAAAACCCTTGGCAAAAGAATCCAATAATATATCAAAAGGATAATACATCACAGTCCCGTGAGATTTATTCCAGAGGCACAAAGATAGTGCAGTATGCAAAAATCAATTAATGTAATCCAAAACATCAACAACAAAAAAACTAAAAACCGTATGATTGTATCAATAGATGTTGAGAAAGCATTTGACAGAGTTCAATATCCATTTGTAATGAATGTCCTCAAAATTCTTCAGAAAAAAGGAATATACTTTAACATGATAAAAGCCAAATAAGGGCCCTCCCTGGTGGTGCAGTGGGTTAAAGCACAGCACTAAGAAACTAAAACCACTTCCACATGAGTTCGATCCCCGCCTGCCTGGGAGGAGATCCACATGGCGTGGCAGACCTCTCCTGACCTGCCCGCCGCTCCCCTCAGCAGTGTACTTCGTGGATCTGCCTGTTCTGCTCCCCGCTCTGGCTCTGGTGAATCCTCTCACCCTCCACATCTCTGGCCTGTACCCCAATTATGTATGAATAAATAAATCTTTAAAAAAAAAAGCCAAATAAGACAAACCCATAGCCAATATTATTCTCAATGATGAAAAGCTGAATGCTTTTCCTTTAAGATCAGGAACAAGATGAGAATGTCCACTCTCACCATTGTTTGACAATATAAAACTGGAAGTCCTTTCTAGAGCAATAAGCTGAGAGAAAGACATACAAAGAACCCAAACAGAGAAAGAAGAAATAAAACTATCACTGTTTTATATGATAATATACATAGAGAACTCCAAAAACTCCACAGAAAACACTAGTCAAAATAATTAGCCCATTTAGTAAAGGAGCAGGATACATAATCCGCACACAGAAAATCAGTGGCCTTCTTATATGCAATCAATCTAAAGAAGACTAAATGAAGAAAACCATCTCTTTTATAATTGAACTAGAAAAAAATCAAATCCTTGGAAATAAACCTAACAGAACAGGTGAAGGACCCTATACAAAGAAAATTATAACACTATTAAAAGAAATAGAAGACACAAAGAAATGGGAAAATATCCCCTGCTCATGGGTTGGAAGAATTAGCATTATTTACATGGCCATCCTACCAAAAGCACTGTACAGATTCCATGCCAGTCCTGCTAGCATTTCAAAAATTGTCCATAGTCCATAGATTAGGCTCTTTGTCTCATAAGTTTTTGAGTCCCTGATCACCTTTTATACCCTTTTTAAAAATTACAAATCTTATTTTTAATTTAAATTTATTTTCTTACATCATAGTTCATTTTTATATAACATTGAATTTTTCCCTCAAGTATTTCCCATATACCTTTTATTTTATTGATTTTAAGTATACCCAGCTATTTTTTTCATTGTAGATATTTTTTCCCAGTGCTAAAATTTTCATTTATGCTTTTTATAGTTTCTAATTTCCTCTGGAAATCTTTCATTGTTCTACTAATTTTTTCATCATTTCCTTTATCTACTTGAATAAACCATCTTCAAGTCTTTACCTGTTAATTCCATGATTCCAGAGTTTCTATTGACTGGCTTATTTTCTTTGATTTGGAAAAAGTTTCCTGCTTCTTTGTACATCTGTGCATTTATTGCATAGTGGATATTGTAGATGACACACGATCTTACTGTCTATTTTTATAGTTACTGTCTAGCAGGTAATTAAAGTCATTTTGGTATTGCCACTTGATATATTATGTTTTCTTAGGCCACATTTATCTGGTAGGTGTAGCATTTACTTTAGAGCATTTTTTTCCCCTTACTTTTAAAAAACAGCTCTGTGGACTCTTTAGGTGAATGCCTGAGATAACCAGCTCACTGTCTTCTCTAGCTATGAAAGAACTTCTATATTGCGTAACTTCTATTTGTGTGTAGTAAACACACTTACTTGGTTAAAAATCTGCAGTAAATCTCCTGTAGATTTCTGACCTTACTTAGTACATAGCTTCTTTGGTACTCTGTCCTTCAAATTACAGCTTCTTCTCTACACTAATTGTAGGCTCTAGCTCTTCCATTTTGTGATACCTCTGCTCAAGCTGGGCTGCTCTGGCCTGCCTAGCAATCAGAAGGTGCCCTCAGGAAGAAACCAATTGATCAAGGACCAGTTTCTTTTCACTCAAGGCCCAGAGTTCTGTACTCACTGTTTTACTGCCTGAAATTATTTCCATTGGTAGGGGAAGTTTGGTATTTGTTTTACTGTCAGGATTGGGAGTAGGTGACTAAAACTGTTTGACTTATAATTCAGCTGTTTTAGGCATCACCCTCTATGCAAGTGCAGCCGAGAGAATTAGCTGCTTTTTCTCCAGTGTACTTTTACTATCTATTTTTTCCTGTGCTGCCATTCATTGCTAGTTCATTTGAGTGATATAGTTTTTCTGAAATTAGGTGTCATGTTTAGTCTTTTTTGGTATCCATTATGCCTGATGTATCATGTATATTTTAAAGATATGATAAATAGTTATGAATAAATGATGAATGATTTTGTCTCACCCAGTAAATTGTGGTTGCAATAACTTATTCATCTTTCTGTTTACTTCTGGTTTCACTTTTGTCTAGACTCAGAGTAAGCAGAGAAATATTCAAATTTTATACCAGAAAGGTCTGTGTTACTGAAAGATTTGGTAAACTAAGATATCATTGGGATAAATAACACAATGATTAATTAATTTCTTACTCTTGGAATAATCCCAGTGAAAGTTGGCTGCCAACAGTATAATTTAGTATTCTCTGGAAAAAAGAACATTTTCTTTTTAATAGAGATATAAATTGATTTATAAATTGATTTAAATCATGAAAGTGTGCTCAAAAGATAAATGTAATTAACTGTTTTTTTGTATGTACATAACAGTAAGAATAGATAGCTGCATCAGCTAAACCTCTCTATATTTTTATCAAACTATAAATACTGTAATGTTAAAATATTATAATTATGATCAGAGGGGTCATAATTAATTTTAAGATTTAATTTAAAGATGAATTTAGATGTTGCCAAGGACTTTTTCTAAAGTACTTGACTTTGAGAACTTTGCTACTTAGGAATAAATAAAAAGATATAATTTTAAAATCACCTTCTTTAAAAAATGTACAAATTTCAGTTCAATTTCTTTGGAAGAAATTATAGAATCAGAAACTTGTAATTTGTAAAAAGCTATTTTTACTAAAAGTGGCATTAGTACATTTCCCTGTTTCGGGTTAAATATCCTCATTACCAAATTACTTGAACACATTATTAAATGTTTTATAAGATTCATATTTTCAGGTTGACATATGACACATACCTCTGCATTATATGGCTCTATGCTTTCCCATGTCCTGGGTAACAGAGAACCTTTAGAGCACATCACAGAAGATTCCACTGTGTTTTTCCTTCCACTACTTGTCTTGTCTTCTTTTGGCATGAAGTCAACAGAGAAGGGTGGATATATAGAAGGAATGCTACTTTCAAATCCTATATGGTAGTTATGATTTTCATTTTCCTGTTCTCTCTGTGAGATAATTTTTTTCAAACTAATGGATGATGGAGCTAAAAGGTTGAATCTGTAATCTTCAGCACTGTGACGCCTTCCTGTGGGATTTCTCCAACAGCTTTCTTTATTCATGCTTTGGGTATTTGGTAGCACAGAAGGCCTAAAACCAATTACAGGTGTTTTCCTAATTTGGTGACAGGAGACTTCTGGGCTTATTGAAGTGAATTCATTCGTAGCTGTTTGGTGTATTTCACCTAGTGAATGTCCTTTTGAGTCCTGTCTTGGCGATCTGGACACAAAAAAGATGTTTTCTTCAGTTTCATTCTTATAAAATGGAATTGTACTACTGACCTCATGTGCTAGTTGTTCAAAACCAAGACTGATTTGGCTAGGAAAAAGGAGTTGATTTGCAGAGTGAAATTCTTGATAGTCATGCTGTTCATGTGATTCATTGGGATTTAGATCTCCTTTCCAACAATGTGCCATTTTTTATGTAACTGAAAGGACTGACTGCTTTAGGTAACTCCTTAATGATATGAAAAAGAATAGGAATTTTCCTAGGGGAAAAAACATAAAAGGAAGCAAAAATTACTTGATTGATTAGAAATAAATGTTGGTCAGAAAAATGTAATGAATAAACATAAACAATTATTTTCAAGATAGTCTTTCCCAAATGAAGTAATTCCTTGGGTAATATGAAACTTTGTTACGGCTTATAATATTAATGTCTGAAGGCAAGTATTATTTCAGATAGATTCATGGAACTTCTGTGATAGAAAAATAAATGTCCCTCAATTATGACAGTTCTATGAATCTATGTGAAGTCATTATTTCCTTCTGAACTTCTTTCCTACTGCAGATTTACTGATAAGTTTACTAATAAGTTTATCAAACTAATAATCTTATTAAACTAATAAAATTATTAAAGTTTACTAGTAAGTTTACAAGTGAGCTTCTTTCCACTTATACATATGCTTTATATATACAAATATATATACATATACACAAAATATATATGGATGTGTGTGTATTCCAAAGTACCTATAGTACTTTGCTTCATTTAGAGTTATTACTCATTTCTATTTACTGCACAGATGATTTAATCATTTTCAAGATATTACAACTAATTATAAGAAAATGAAATTGACAAGTATTGGATCTCTTTTGTGATTTTCAATCTCCTTATTGAAATAGAATTGCATTGCATAACATGATAAGTTTCTGGTATTCACTACTGGAAGTCAGTAAGAATCAACTTAATAAATATACTGAGATTCACTGTTAAAAGTCTAGATCACTATGCCCCTTTTTACATTCTTCTTCACTGTTACCTTCTGGCAGCCATGATTGGTTTTATAGTACAAAAAATATTAACTTATCAGTTTATTTTCTCTGTTATACTACATATATGTAAAGTTATATGGTTTTGCTCATTCTCTGCCTTATTAAATCTCTTAATATGTTTATGGTAAAGACAAAAAATGTAAGATAATTTTGGTGATGCATAATTATGAAATATAATTTTTTATTAATTTGCTTTTCAATGGCAATTGCTTTTTGTTGTGTTACAATTAGTGATTTACTTAGTTTAATTCTTAAAATTACCTAAGAAATAAGTGAATAGATTATACTTCACTCAAGAAATTGAAATGAAAGAAAAATATACTGGCTCAATTCAGTCAGTAAATTGAGCTAACTAATTTGGGAGAGATTTTCAAGAGATGTAAATAAATATTTTTAGAATAAAATGTTAATCAGAAAATAAATTTATTAATTACTGTCTAACTTGTAAGTCTTGTGGATACATCATTATCTAGCCAGAACCCCCATTTTAGGAAAGCCATTTTTTTTTTTCCAGCTTCATGTTAGTAGTAAATACTATGTTTCATTAAGGCAAATTATAATCCCTAACCATGTCTGTAATGGAATGCAAAATTTGTCAGCAGATGTGACTTTAATGCTGATAACTACAGTTAATATCTCTTGTCAGCCTTCATTACCCTGTCCTACTCTGTCTAATCTTTAGTACAGGTTTTTTTTTTTTTTTTTTTGTATATTAAAGTAACTTTTACAACATTTTGGCTTCAAAATAACTGATTTTTTTTTAAATATTCTTTAATTTTTGTAGTGTTGTAAGGGAGTCTTTAAGGTTCTGGTGGTCTGATGATAAAACCAGTTTTTTAGACAGTGCCCCTTTGTTGTTGATAATAGTAGTAGTAGTAACAGCAGCTGTAATTATACCTAATGGTGGAACACTCTGTGTTGCTTACATGTATTAACATATTTTTTCTTACCTCAACCTGTAATATTATCATCCCACTTAACAAATGAGTAAACTAAGGCACAGAAAGGAAAATCAGTATACTTAATCTCTTAGAGTTTGTGTTCACATGGCGACCAGGTCCTACAAATAAGACATCTAGAGTGAAGCTTAAAGAATTTGGCATTGCAACATAGCATTGACTCAACTCAAACTATCTACAGTGAAAAGAATTGGGAACTTTTACATTTTTATTACTAACTTTTTTTTTTTTTAAGATTTATTTATTTATTGTGCGTACAGAACTGGGGTACAGGCCAGAGGCTCAGGGGCGGTGAGAGGCTTCACCAGAGACAGAGTGGGGAGCAGAACAGGCAGATCGACAAAGTACACTGCTGAGGGGAGCAGCTGGCGGGTCAGGAGAGGTCTGCCACGCCATGTGGTCACCTCCGGAGCAGGCGGGAATCGAACTCATGCAGAAGCGGCTTTAGATTCTCAGTGCTGTGCTTTAACCTGCTGTGCCACCAGGGAGGGCCTACTAACATTTTTTAAAAGCATTTCTTATAGTACTAAAATTTGAACTGGATTAGAAGCCTGTCTGGGAAATCTCATTATCAGGATATAAAGGAGAATGAGACATACTTACTCATATTGAAAATATAATAAAAGCAAAAACCTCCTCCAGAACTTTTTTTATAATATTAAATTTAGTGATGCAAAGGAATTTCTAATAAATTTAAATATCTTTACAATCATAATCTAGAAACTAGATTATTTCTTATAAACAAATATTACTTTGTGCTGACAAATGCTGCATTTTACATTATGAGTAGTGCATAACAAATCAAACCAAATGTAATAGACTTCACTAGAACTGTACAGATTAACAACAATTATGACACAATTGAGGAAGCAGAACTATTGGTTCTTAAGTAAAACTGAAGAATTTTACAAAATTTGTGTGTGTCAGGTAGATAAACCCTTCCAGCTTCCCCCAACCCCACATCCCTACCTCTCCAATATTCCTCTCTCTTAATTCCTGAATTTGTGAATAGGTTACGTGAAAAATAGGAATTGATGTTGCAAAGGAATTGCCTTTGTAATAAACTGACCTGAAATAGTAAGATTATATGAGGGGATTGAGTATAATTACAAGGAAAAGGAGGTGCAAATGAAGGTCAGAATTGTATGATTTGAGGGACTTATCCCTCTTTTGCTACTGTGAAGATAGAGAAAGGGGGCCATGAACTAAGGAATGCAGGCAGCATTTTGACACTGGAAAAAGCAATTGGACAGATTTTCCCCCAATGAGGAAATGAATTTTATAGAATCTTGATTGTTAACACAGTGAAATCCATGTGGTATTTCAAAATTACAGAACTGTGTGATAATAAATCTGTGTTGCTTTATTTAAGTTTGTTATAATTTGTGACAGTAGCAATAGGTAATGAATACAATATGCTAAATGAAAACTGTTTCCTAAATTGATTGGAAAAGCAGAGTCTAGAAATACAGCAAATCACACAAAGACAGTCTTCTATTCTTTGTTGTTAAAATCAACTAAATTTCAATGGAGATTTTAAATGGTATTAGCAATGACAACTTTTATATACTGCAGTTGCTTATAACCTTCTCTTCATTCAATTTTGAATAACCAATATTTTGAGGATTAATTATTTATCTAGCCTCAAAAAGACACTACAAAATTCAGTTACCTTTCAAAGAAAAGGTGGTCTCTGCCATTTCAAAATGGCCTCTTCCATTTTCAGGTCTATAAAGGTGCAAATGTCATTCACATTTTTCTAGCATTTAAAACAACATATTTTTGTTTTACAAGAGAACAAAAAAATGAGAACCTTCCTGAAAATGTCTCTTCTGATCCAGGAAGTCCAGACCAGGGCTTTTCTGTTAGCACAAGGTGTTAAGTCTCAGCACTATGAAGCTATAGGCAGCCACTGCAATATGAGTTTGATCCCCAGCTAGGGAGGTGACTCAGCATAGCAGACCTCTCATGCGTCATCTGCTGCTCCCCTCAGCTGTGTATTTCAGTCAGTCCACCTGTTTTGCTCCCTAGTCTGTCCCCACTCCTCACCCTTTTCATCCGTATTCCTGATACCTCTGGCCTATACCCTAGTTCTTGTATACATAAGTAATTAAACTATGAAATTGAGGGAAAAGGATCTTTAGTTCATGTAACACATTTCTGAAGTTAAAAATATAGTTTCTAAAGTACGTTGTGTATGTACATATATATATATATGTCATAGTAGATAAAGACTATGTCAATAGAAGATATGCATAGTTGAGAGAGGCTAAGCCATCTGTACTTTGGGTAAGGTGGAGGGATAGTCTATTACTAGCTATGGCAACTCATCTGGTTCCAAGGAACACTGAGCTGGAAGGATGGTCTGAAAGTCCCATCTCTCTTCATCTGTTGAATCAGTTGTATATATCATGTAGCCATAAACATAGACACTCATGTTTTAGGCAGACAAAAGTCTAACCTTTCTCAGCTCGGATGTCTGTAAGAATACAAAGAAGATCGGAATATATGTTTTTTCCACCTATAATTTGGAATTGAGTATAAGTATATGAATTTTCATTAACTCTGAAAACAAGAGGTGCTTGGGAAAACTTAGATTTCCAATCTTTATCAGGTAACTTTCTATATGAATAATTGCTGTTTTCTTAATCATCCTTTAGAAGTCTCACTTCCCTTTAAATTACTTGAAGTTTCTTGTATGAAAAACATGAAGTTCTCACTTATTTTTGAGAGATGTTGACTTGAATAAACCAGTTCATTTATTCATAAATTTATTCATTTGCACACTTATTTATTCAGTACCTGTTTTTTAAGTGTATTGTGTCAAGCACTGGGCTTTCAGTGTTAAGTCACAGTACTTGCCCTTCAGTAGCTCACAGACATAAATTTATGATACAGTACAATATGAGAATTAGCTTGATATGTGCAGTCCCCACTTTGTTTGAGGTAATTTCATGTAGAACACTGTTAAGTTTATTTGCATTAGCAAAAAGGGAAGTAAAATTCATGTAGAACATATTTAATGTTTGCATAGTTGGTTTGTTTCTGTTTATATAATGGATCAAAGATAATTGTATGGCGTGCTGGTTATTGAGATCTGTTTTAAGGTGTGTTTTGATTGCTCAACATGATGTATCAGTTAAATCAGTACATCTTCATTTTCTGAATGTGTTTTAGGACTAGTAAAGTGAAAAGTCAGCCTGCAGCTCAAATGTAATTTAGGGGGAAATGATGTAGTGGAAATGAAG